CCTTAGTTGTTACAAAGGAGTGAGGTTAGTGTATTTAAAATGGATAAATGTAGTATAAAAATATTGTCCATGTTTTGTTGACCTGATAAAAATGTTTTTCATCCAAAAATATCTGGGGGCTCAGGTCTCTGCTACTGTTATTTTGTGGGTCAAAAGCTGAAAAGTTTGGGAACCAGTGCACTTTGGTTCCCAAAGTTGGGCTTGGGACCCAATTATGGGTCATGAAGCACCTTGGATAATCTCCAGAAATCAGTTTAAAGGGTAATAAAATAATTGTCGATGTAATATATTCCCTCTGACTATTACAAAAACACAAAATAAGTAAAAATAAGTATTTATATTTGTGTACAAGCTGTTCAGATTGTCAAGCCTGTGTTTTTAGGGTTATTAACAAAGTTTGTGTACTCAGACCAGTAATATTTGGGGTCACAAGTTTTTGTCTTGGATATTTTGTGGGTCAGAAGATAAACAGTTTGGGAACCACTGTCTTAGRGCATACACCAATGAGCTGATGGAACAGATCGCACTGTGATACTGCTACAGGAAAATTAGTTCCTATATTAGCTGTTAGCTGATTAGCAGGACTGTGTCCACCACTGTATTTCTGCATTGATGGTGTTTTTCAGATGTGCTCACTGCCCAGGCCACTGGCAGTAATGCACCCCCTTACCATCAGAGAGACGGACCCTTTGATTTTATGAACAGCAGCATGGCTCTACTCGATTCTGTTTGATTCTGTTCGGTTATGCTCAGGTGTGTGTACGTCTCCATTTCAGTGTGTCTCTCACTCTGTGGGCGTGATTATGGGCGGACTGTCTACAGCGGCTTTGTGGCTTTACGTTTTATTTATTTATTTATTTATTATCATGATGCTGTTTATAAGTGCTTGTGTAACCGTGGTTTGTTGGAAACCTACTGGTTATCTGCTCTGCTTCGTCTCCTTCACCTCTCCAGGAAATGCTTGCTAGTTCTGCCTTTTGACAAACAGGTTAGACCGTGGTTTTCTCACTGCTTTCACCATGTCATATCTCATCAGCAGAATGCTGACGTCAAAATCGTGTGCTGTACTCGCTTCTACCCACTTAGAACCATCGGAGAGGTGGATCTGAAAGTGCACGGTTTGAACCTAAACTGAGACACTTCTTGGTCGAGGCCGAACCGAGCAGAACAGCATAGAGGCAGAATACTGACCTGTTAATTTAACCATATCTGTAGCAAATGCTCCTCCAGGTGTTTATTTGTAYCACACTCTTTTATGGAAGTGGTTAGTTTTGTAGTACTTGAGACCGGTCTTGGTCTTAAGACCAGTCTCAATACACTTTTTGATGGTCTTGATCTTGTCTCGGACATTGAGGACTCGGAATTTTATTTCACAACCAGTCAAGACTACAACTGTGGAAATATCACCAAACAGCCAGATTATTGTCCAATTTATTAGTTAACATTCTTGCTTTCATTGGATCTGACCGTATAACATTCTCCCAGTACTCTTATGGAATATCCAAATGCTCTCTAGCTAGCTTCAGATGGACTTAGGTAGGGGGACCCGTCTGGCACTGCAGGATCTGAGTCCCTGGTGGTGTAGTGTGTTACTGATGGTAGTCTTTGTTACATTAGTCCCAATCTCCTGGTGGTGTAGTGTGTTACTGATGGTAGTCTTTGTTACATTAGTCCCAGCCGTCTGCAGGTCAGTCACTATCCCCCATGCGGTTCTGGGATTATTGCTCACTGTTCTTGTGACCATTTTGACCCCATGAGTTGAGCTGTTTGAGGTTGTGAACAGGCGTCTTTTATACTGATAACAAGTTCAAACAGGTGTCATTACTTCAGGTTGAGTGGAGGACAGAGGAGCCTCTTAAAGAAGTTACAGATCTGCGAGAAACAGAAATATTGCTTGTTTGTTTTTGACCAAATACTTATTTTCCACCATAATTTGTAATATTTTTTWAAAAAATCATGTGATTTTCTAGATATGTTTCCTCATTTTGTCTCTCATAGTTGAGGTATAACTATGATGTCAATTACAGGCCTCTCTCATCTTTTTAAGTGGGAGAACTTGCACCATTGGTGACTGACTAAATACTTTTCCCCCCCACTGTACACGTGTACAGAATACTCCATCTTTTAGGACACTAGGTTTTTATTTATTTATTTATTTTCTGGTCTTGGTCTTGTCTTGATCTCGCCCTCCCTTAGTCTTGGTCTCGACTTGGTTCAAGCCCTAAAAGTCTTGGTCTTGTCTCGATCTCGAGACACTGTGGTCTTGGTCTTGACTTGGTCTCGGGTCAGGTGGTCTTGACTACAACACTAGGAAGTGGGGTTGTCTACTAAAGCTACAATGTAGACAGCTTCCATAGCAATGAAGTGATAAAAAATTCTAATAAAAAGTTCTCCAGATCTAATTTTCTCTACATGTATTTAATGTAAACATGGACTCTACTGTTGTTCTAATAATACCAGTACAATCACCTACCTGCTGAGAAAAGACAGCAGGAACGGGTGCATGAATCTAAACATTTCACACAAGTTATGATAACAGAAACTGTGAATGATCCATTGAAGTAGATGTTCCACATGTGGCCCCACCCTCACCTTTTCCTGAGTTCAGAATCCACGACCACTTGTCTCTTTTTTTGGGGCGGCGGTGACTCTCGAGCGTGGCGTAGCGCTGACACCTTTTCTCTCGTCACTTTGGTCACGGTGGTGGTGACGGACTGGGACACCTCGGGCTGCTTGGTTGTGCTGATAGATGACTAAAATTACATGTGAACCAAAAAGAAAAAAAAGGTTTACTTAAATCATACAAATGCTCGCAAAAATCTAATTAAAACTAGAATAGTTCCTGGAGAAACTATGAGAGGATTGCCKGCTGTGCAAAACTCGTCCTGTACATTTTGAACATGTTGCTGTTTAAAGAGGTTCTGACAGCAGTCCTAAAGATYTATTTGATGTCTGATTGAGATGTCAGCAACTTGTTTGCCATTTTCTTTCTATAGGTGTCGCAAAATGACTGTTATAACTCATTTTGTATGTATTTTGACAAATTTTGTTGGCTTGGCTCACTTTCAAGAATAGCTTAAACTAAAAAAAACAATAGGCCAACTAAAACAACAAAAAAACTATTATTGTTCTCTGGTCACCTTGGTAATGGTGGTCGTGATGGACTGGGACCCCTCGGGCTGCTTGGTTGTGCTGATAGACGATGAAAGCTAAACATGAAAAAGAAGTTTAAATCATACATATTCAACTAAAATGTAAGAAT